TATTACTTAAATAAGAACTTTTTTGTAATTCTCATATATAAAAGCTCCTAGTTTACATAGCTGAAGGTAAAGATGAAATCATACAAATTCAAAAACTTAGTTTGGTTTCTTATCTTTATTTCAAAAATATCTATTAAAAAAATACCAATATTCTAATACCAAATTATCTTAAATTATTATTATTATTATAGCCACTTCTAGCCCGTTAATTTGGCTTTGGTTGTTTTAAAAAAGTGTTTATTTTCTACATTAAACATTTTTTTTTTCTATAAAAATTTACTACTATAATTAATTGATTTAATAGCAGACTGTAATATAATTACCTGAATTCAATTTGTTAATTATTGTTTTAATATACCATAAACAGTATTTTATTACTTAGTATATAATAAAATAAATATAGAGTATTACATTAATTCTCTATATGAAATTGCAGTGGAAATACAAAATATCCAGCAGTATGAGCTGTGGTGTTTATTAATGTAATTTATACAAAATATTATATTATATTCTTTCCTTATTGTTAGGATGGCCATTTTTAATGATCTTGTTGTGGGCGTGGTCGGAGAAATAGGATATTCTCGGGACCAAAAATTCATCCAAATATACACAAAACTTCTCCAAAAATTATTGCACACTGTCTAACTATTATTAAATAAAAGCTTTGCCTTGTCACTGTAACCAATGCTTTCTGTCCACTATAGTCCTGTTTAATTCATAATAATCTCAGAACCCCAAAGAAGCATTGGCCTCTTTCAGATACATTTTCCTAGGTCTTCCTCTTCATTCTGAGAATTTTGCCTTTGCGAATAGCTTTTAGGAAATTATTGGGCTGAATAATGACCTATAAATTTAATTTTTCTTTTCTCTAATTCATGTATTAACTTCTTTTGTTCTGGCATTTTCTTCAGAATTGTTTCATTTGTTTCCCATTCAGTCCAGCTTGTTTTATTTGCTCACCTCTATATCCACATTTCTGCTGCCTCCAGATGGATTATTTTCTTGCTTTCCTAGATCCAGCATTCACTTTCATACTGCAAAATGTCTTAGTAAATGTTTTCTTTCCTTCCACACTTAGGTGTCTTGATGTTAGCAGATTTCTTTTACTTTGGAGAGCTTGTTTCATAAGAATAAAGCAACTATAAGTATTTGCAAAGCATTAAACAAGTATTTAATGCTTTGCAAATAAACAACTTTAATGCTGATAGACAGTTTGCTTTATTCATATGCTTATTACAATGCAAAAACATAATATTTATATACTATGGAAGCTTGTTTCATGAGTTCTATCCTTTTTTTGATCTCTCTATACATCTGTTATTTAGGGAGTTAAATCACAGAAGATAAGTAAAATTTGATATTTGTCCCACCTCCTTACTGACAATCCTGATGTTAGCTTTTGTCTTCTTGATGTTATTTTTTACTACCATCACTCTTGTATTCATGATGTTTAGCTTTAAACCCCATTGATATATGTTCTTGTGCAGTATGTTAAGCATATGATTAATTTCTTGTTGAATTACCCATTGTCACTACATCATCAGCAAATTTGATGCAGTGTATCTTTTTCCCATTTATCAGTATAGCTTTTTTTATATTAATTCTTTAATTAAATCTCTTCAATGTACATATAAAAAAAGTAAGGAGAAAGTCAGCAGTTCTTCTTTGTCTTTGCTTCTCTCTCCACCCTATTGATATTTATATATGTCTGCTGGTTCTTGCATAACTGATAAATTAACTTCATTCCTCCAATCTAAGTTTGCCTTCTTCGTAGTTTTAAAGAGCAGATCCCATTTCACTATCAAATGCCTTCTCTAGATCTATGATTGTTGTATCTGTAACAGAAAATATATATTGCATTCATTTGGATGGATTTGATATTTTCTGTTTCTTTATAGAATCATTTGCAATGCAAAGATAGCTTCTGTCATACCTTTACTTGCCCAGAAGCTGAACTGGTCTTTTTCCAAGTAATTGTCTGTTTTACTTTGTATTCTGTCTTTTACTATGTGTAGTAGAATTTTTGAGATGTGTAATAAGAGAGATGCTGTAATTAGAGTATTCTAATGTGTTTCTCTTTTGGCAAGGTGACAGTTTCACTTTATGTAAAATTGCCCAGTATCTCACCTATTTCAAAACTGTCCCAAATTACTTTATGTAATTGTTTTTTCACATCTATTCCTATAAATATCCACTCTAAAAACCATTTAATGCAGTAATGTTTCTTTATTCTGACATTTTCAATCATCTTCAACAATAAAAAATGTTAGAATAAAGAAATATTACTACATTAAATGATTTTTGGGCTCTGATTTGAAAAAATTGTAGACTTATAAATTCCCACTGTCATTGTCCATTTGTCCTTTTCTTAATCTCAAGAATGGTGTGAGTTAGATGAAAGCAGAGACCAGATATGGAAAGCTTAGGAGTAAGAGGCCCCAATTAACTATATATAAACTTCCAGTATAAACCAGAAGACATGTTATTTCAATTTAAAATTTTCCCTGAAAGGAATTAGATAGATGACTATCATAACTCTGTTGCTAACAGGAAAAGTATGATGTACAGGGGCAAGACACTACTGATTTATGGAGAATATATTTTTTAAATTAAATAAATTTAAAAATATGATTAAAAATTGAATCCTGGCATTGTGACTGTCACAATAAATAATTGCTTGTTTTGAGTGGATATTTGTATAGTACAATTTGAAGTTCATATAGGAGTAATTAGTTCTATTCCTGTATTTTTAAAGCTTTGTAGGCATGTTATCTATTTCTGTTGCCTACCCCAAGCTCAGGTTTTTGGAGTGCTTGGTCAAATTCTTTCTCTAATATTATGGCTTAAATTTTATCAATTATATTTTCATTTTCAATGTGTGTATTTCATCATTATATAATTCCTCCATATATTCTTTCCATCTGTCACTAATTTCTTCATTGTTTATTAAAATTTTGCCTTTTTTTGTCCTTGACTATAGTTGATCTTGAGCTTGTGTATATGAGCCATTTGATCTTACGGTATGCTCCGTGTTGTTAACCCCTTTTCATATCCTCTTCAATCTTCTTACATCTTTCATTTATCCATTTCTCTTTTTGTATTCTACACTCATTGTTTATATCATTTTTTTATGCTTTTGTATCTTTTTCTCATTATCTTTCTATAATAGTTTTTGTTTGTATAATAATGTTTTTGTTAGTTTGTGTAGTGGTGACACTTGATTCAAGTTTGGATCTTGCGGACGTGTTGGCACTCGACTACCTAGCGTTAGTGTTTGGAAGAAGATCGGTAGGATAGAATGCCAAACTTTAGTTTATTTCTTTTAAGATATTAATTGTAATATTTTCTGTCATCTGGGATTTTCTAGATATCAATTTTCTTTTTCCTAATATCTTTTCAGAAGCTTCCTTTATTTCTGCCTTTATGCCATCCCATCCAGTTTCATAGGTTGTACTCAACCAATTATTTGTTGTTTCTTGATAAATTTATCTTTTTATGTTATTGCACACTAAAACAACAATTTATGAATCAATTAATAATCATTACCATAGTTTGGAAAATTCAAATTATATATTATTTTATATATTTAATATTTTATTTTAATTCAAGCTGACATGAAATTTCATTCACTGAATATTGTGGGAGAGAGTTTCAAAATAAAAACTGACTTTCTTTTTCAGTTCTTACGTCTAAGTTTTGGTGTTTTTTGTGAAATAAATGTAATTTGGTAGGTGAGATTGACTCATCCTTACTACATATGCATAATTATGCAAGTAGGTAACAATGTAATGAATGGCTTGTTTTAATTCTCCCCAAATCTTGTTTGCACAATTGGACATATTCTGCATCTCTGAGTTTGGTTAGGCATGCATTGGAACAATCAAGTAATGAGGGATATGGTTTGATTATCATGAAAATTTCTGCAGATCCAACACAGATTTGGAACCAGTTTCTCAAATGTAGCCAATCTTAGCTTGGTATTCCAGTTGTCTTAGTAGTTCAATACTTTCCTTTGTTATGTATATGTAACAGTTGGGGAAAGTAAAATAAAAAAATACATAAATCAAAATGCAAAATAAAATACATAATAAAATGAAAAACGTAACAAAAAGAATAAATTAATTGTCAACCTATAAATTCCCACTGTCATCTGTCTTTCCTTAATCTCGAGAACAGAGTTAGATAGATGAAATCCAAGACCAGATATGGAAACCTTAAGGGATGGAGGCCCAATCCGATTAACTGTACAAGAACTTCCAAAGCAAACCGGAAGTCACGTTATTTCAATTCAAAGCTTTTCCCCAAAAGGTGTTAGACAACCAGCAGGACTCTCTTGTTAAAGGAAAAGTATGATGTACAGGAGAAAGACACTACATTACTAATTTGAGATGGAGAGCATTTATTTTAAATGAAATAAATTATGATTAAAAATTGTAGGCCTGCATTGTGACAATGTAACAATAAATAATTTCTTATGTATATATCTATACACATACACAAGTAACAAACAAAAATATAGAAAAAAGTGAGTTAAAAAACAATATAAGGACAGTGCATTTACATATATTGTTCTTGTGTTCAGTAAGATGGATTTGTAATTTTTTTGTTGTGGCCTTGATGTAAAAAATGTTTGCATCGCTATCCAGCCGTTGTAATAGATCCAAATAAACTTCAGATTTTTCTAGTTTGGAAAATATATATCTGTCATTACAGAGGAGACTGCGTAAGATTATTTGAGGTTTAATTGGATTAATGTTGAAAGTTCTTGCAATGATGTTATAATAAAAATTGCTTAACACTGATAGACAGTAGTTATCTCTTTTTTTTTAATTGGAAGACTTGACTTGTCTTGATTTTAACACTAACTTCTCAAACTTTGTTTTATATAAATCAGATAAATTCAAATAAAATGAAGTCTAAATATTTGCAATTTGTAAGTTTTAAACATTTTAAAATAAAATGTATTTATAATAAAAGATCATTTTTATCCCCTTATTTAGGACCGACTCAAATAATACTGAAATTTCTAACAGCACAACCGTAGTCACGACTCCTTTTCCGAAAGTAACAACTCCTTCCGATCCCATACTTCCAGAGAAAGGGGCTGCCGAGAAAGAGCATCATTCTAGCATGACTATTTTCTTTGTATTAAGTGTCTTAGGTAAGTTTACACGATAGTTTTTATCTTTTGTTAAATGATAATCAGTTTGGATTATAATATACAATAATATATATTTAAAAATTTATTTAATAAAATAAGTTCAAACTTAGGTTTGAATGAGTAAAAATTAATTAAAATAGTATAAAAAGCTAACTTTCCAGTATTTATTGATTTCTTTAAGAATTATCAGAATTATTCACTCTTTTAAGCAGGACCGAGAGAAGTAAGATAGTAAAATGAAGTCAGTCCTACCATAAATATGGGTCCCCATCTCTCTATGAAATGAAAGCAATGAATATATGTAAATATAATGAATAAAACAAAGAAGATTTTTGACCACTTATAAAAAGAAATTTTAGTTTGCATTGCTTTAGTGTCCTAGCATTGTTAACTGTTTACATAAGACTGAATTTTGGGGTTTCTATGTATTTGTGACCTGAGCTAAATGGCTGTGCTGATCTCATGTATATGGAATGCTTATTTGTATTAATACTAAAAACTTTATTGTAAAAGTCTTTTTATTAACAAACTTTCATAAATTGCAATTAAAATTATATACTTACACAAACTTTTTTGAAATGTGAGTAGAAATCTAACATTCTTACTTGATGGTGAGCTTTATTTCATTTAGGAATGCAATAACTTAGCCTTAATAGCCCAATAATTTGGCACTTCATTTGATTTAACTAATAAATTGGGTTTGGAGGAGATATCGATATGTGTTAAGGAATACAATTCATGCATTCAAAATTTTTAAATTGCTTAAAGTTTATTTTGGAACATATTTAATTAACTGTTTCTACATAGTAACATCCTGATTTGATTTATTTCTCTATAATCTTCAGTTTTATATTTTTCATTTGGTCATCATATTAATACTGTTTTCACTGCAGGCATCTGATAATGTAATATAACAGTAATCAAAATGTTGTTTAAGCCGAATGTAATATGTTAACGTTGTCAGTGCACTAGTACGAAACATTTGACCATTTAAAGCTTTTGAGTAAACAGCCTAGATAACATCTTTACAAAATGTAATATTATATTATTAGCTAATTTAACTGCTGTATTCAGGTTCGAACTTTAAATAATGACAAAATTCAAGAACATCGGTTTGAAGTAATTCAAACTTAGTTTATGTTTCATTTTAAAATGTGTTGTAATACCAAACATATTTGAACAAGAGTCCAAAATAATGTCTTGGTTAAAAATTTTCAGATTTAAAACCTGAAGCTGAGTTTATTTTTCTAATATAGGAAGTGCTAAATTACATTGTTTTGGTATTTTACAAGGAGGAAAATAATGATACAATATTTAAACAATTTTTTTAAAGTAATTTTAGAAAATTTGACAGGAGAGAGAAAAAGAATGCTCTGTATTTTATTTTGGAGTTAATGATTTAATGTTAATGAGCACGTGCTTTGATAAAATATATTTTAATTTGAAACAATAATTGTACTTTTAAATCTGAAGTTTCATTTAAGATTTGATGACATTTAATTATAAAAAAATTTCCTTTAATTTTTAAAAATATTTAAATATTTACAGATTTATTTTGAAAAAATGTTTTCAATTGCAGACAAATCAGAATTAAATATTTTTTTATTACAAATTATTTTAAATTTTCATAAGATAAAAATGCTATGTATTTCTAATTATACTTTTTTGTTTTTTCCAGCTTTGTGTATTTTATTAATTCATCTCTTAATTCAGACAAGTTTCCAATATTTACCAGAAAGTGTTGCTGTTGTTTTCTTAGGTATGTTTCAATTTTGTTACGTATCCAAATAGAATTATATTTAATGATAAAATGAGGTTTTTGTCACTTCATGGAGAAAAATGGTCAATGTACGAACAATCTTGCAAAGAAATTAGGATTTTGGATATTATGTGATGAATTTCATGTAATCATGTCCATTGGTTATATTCAAAGACCAACAAAGAAACCCCCTTTTTTTTCTCTTCTATACTTCTATACTTAATGTTTTTTTAAATTTTTTGATATACAACATATCTTAAACAAGATTTAACATTATATATTACATTCATAGATGCATAAATACAGCTTATGCATTTACAATTTAAAGAATTTGGAACAGCCAAATTTTTGAAAGCTCACTTGATTAAGTAAAATCATTTTTGAGACTTGCCTAATTTTTAAGTTCTAATCTAAATTTCCTTAAATTCTGGGAATTCATTTTGAGATTGAGAATAGGAAATGATAATCTGATTCACTGTCTAAAGAAAATTGGATTTTGGAATGAATTTCTAGTTAAATCTTGTATGATAGTACAGTAGCTTGCCAAATTATTAGATCCGTGCAAAAAAATTTGATTTATTAGTTTTTGATGTAATAATTCAATAAAAATGCAATTGTTGATAAAATATAAGAAAACATTAATATTTTAAATTGTCTTATGAAATAAAAAGTAAGTTTTTGCATATAAAAATTTGAATATAATAGAACTTATTAAATTTTTGTTTTTAATGTTTTATTTTAAATGACCATCTTTAGTAGCCAGTAGTGCTTCTATATTGCAAGGAATATTCTTTTTACACATTTTTGTTTTCCTACAGGGTGCTATGCTGCCATACCTTACTAAGAACAGCTATCATTTTCCATTTTGTAGTAGAAAGTTAATTCATTTTACATTTACAGTGTGGCCAGATAAAAAAAAAACTTGTTAAAAATGTTTGATATAACAGAATAAGAATAACATGAAAAAATACTTGCTCCTTAAACAATATTATGAAAAAAATGTGAAGAAAATAGTACAAAAAGTATGATTTTAGTCAATAGGTGTAATAATTTGGCAAGGTATATAGAATACATTGATACATACTCATTTTGTTATGAGCTGAATCTTCCAAAATCATTCTAGAATATAAAATTCAAATATAAAATCGAACCATAAGATGAGAGTTCAAATAAAGGAAATTTATTCGAACTCTGTGTTGTTCCTTCCAGGGTCCACTTCCTGGACATAGATATTAGGGTTGAGGAGTTGGGCATATACATAACAGTGTGCAATTTCTATGTATATCTTGATTTGGATTGTGTGATCTGTTTCCGTACAAGATGGCAGCTTTCAGAGCCTTGGTTAGAAGAGCATTCACACATTCTTCTACCCCACAAGCATTTGCAGATGAATTAGGGATTATAGAATGGATAGTCAGGGCACATGGTTACACCAACCTTTATACAAAGAATGTGTGAATGGCACAGACATGCACAGGCAGGATCCACCATTTCAATGGAGAGGCCAAGAAATAAACAGGAAGAGGTTATGGAAAGGATCTTCCTCACTTTTAATCCACATTTGAAATCATTATACACCACAATTGCCAAGAAGTGATGGGTCAGTATTATGTACAGAAGATGCCTTTCCATATTCAGCCTACTATGTAACAGAAAAGACACCCCTAACCCTGACAGAGTATTGGGCATTTATAGCATCCCTATCAGAAACAGATGGTATAGAGAAATGGTGTACATTGGGTCTGCTAAACATTAAATGGGGGGTCAGGATACATGAATATAAATCAGATATACAGCATAGTAGGAGTATCACCGCACTCTCCATGTACGTGATGGACCCTGATATTATGGCAAACTTTACTGGAACCCAAATCATCCCATATGCAGAACATCTCAAATGGTTAGAGGCAGTCATGATTTTTAAGGCCTACTGAAGTCCGCATGCATTGATTTTAGGGAAGAAATGTCTCTATCAATGACTTGGCAGGCTTTACTTGACAGCGATTTTGAATGTTCGAACTTATTTAAAGATGATACAGGAAATGCATGCACATAAATTCCCTTTAATCGAACTCTTCATCTTATGGTTCGATTTTATATTCAAATTTTATATTCTAGAATGATTTTGGAAGATCCAGCTTATTTAGAATTAAGAAAACCCGAGGAAGAACCCAGAAGGGGTTACGAAAATATTTGTTTATTGCTTACTCGTACTTTGCACCAGTTATTGTTTGTAGAGTGACTTATTTTATTAGTTGTTTTTTCTTTGTGAAGCAGCTTCAATGCTTCCATGTTTTGATTTAAGAATAGTAATCTTCAAAAATGGGATAAATGCCACTGTGGTACAAATATAAACATCAGTTAACCAGATATTTAGATGAATGCCAATTGCCATGTTGTCCAGTTACATTTAATACTGAATTAATAAATGCTTCTAAATTAATTATTAAATATTAATTTAATTATAATTATTAAATTTATTAAAATATGGTGTCTAATGCTTATCTCTAGGCAAAATTACTTGACATTTAATTATTAATATCATTAATATAGCTTGATTATAATCTGGCAAACATTTGGCATAGCATCATGACTGTTTTATGAGGCAGAAAGCAATTGTTTGTATGAATTTGAAGTATTTGAAAAACAGTCTACTTATAATAATCTTATTATTAATTTTAATGTGTTTTATAATGCATAATCTGATAGGAAATAAAATATTTTATTTATGTTATCATGCATGTAGAATACTGATAAATTTTAGATGAAAAATATGTATTATTTTTATTGCAGGTGCTCTTATTGGCTTAATTTTAAAGCTTATTTCTAGTCAGAATTTAGGAAATTGGCAGGTAATGGTTATAATTAATAACATTTATTAATAATAACAGATTTATATTTTTTATAAGGTTTATTTTTTATTATTATACTTTAAAAATTTTTTTTAAATTTGATATTTAAACTGAAAGAACTTTAATTATACATACATTTTTTAATGTACAGAAAGAAGAAGCATTTAATCCTACAACATTTTTTCTGGTACTTCTACCTCCAATTATTTATGAATCAGGATATAATTTGCACAAGGTAAGAATAAACAGCTTTTACAACGATGTTAAAATTAAAAATAAATGTTGTTGTTATGTATTAATGAAAAGTAACTATCAGTCCACTTTAAGAGAGTTCAGATTGTTTATTTGAGAAGCTTTAATAGTAAGCTTCTCATTCTCATCAATACAAATGCATTTTTCTCCAATAAAACCATTGAGACCCTTTCATGGATATTTGCATTGTGCCAATGATATCAATATAGAATCATTGTCTCCAAAATTATATATATAACTATGTATAAAATTCTTCTATTTTCCTATTAAAAAAAACTAATTTATTAATAAGTATCTGAGGCAAAATGAAGCCAGAATATTTTGTCAATGAAATTTTACCATTTTTGTATCTTTATAGTTTGGAAATTAGTTATTATTAAGTCAATCAAGTGATGTAATATTTATAACATAACTTCTATAAATACTTATATAAAAATTTTAAATTAGAATATGATCCAAATCAGTTTATATTTTGTACTCAGATAACACAAGTGGTGATATATTTGACCCATTAGGCAAGAATCTTTGCAATTATATGAATGTTTTCTCCTTACAAATATATTGCAGGTTTTAATTCCACGCCACTATTTTTCTTACTGTTAATTAAAGTTTTCTAATTTTTTTTATGAGTTATAAATACATAACAGTAATAGTAATTTCAATTCAATTAAGAAATCATTAATTTAAAAAAAGTATGTGTCTTCAAATTTTTACTTTTTTAAAAATAAAATCATATCTATATTGGTATCTTCAGTATCTCTTCAAAACTGGGATTGTATAAATAAACACACAATGCACGAAACCAATACCAGCACAGTGAAAAAAAAAAATTACAAACTTTTTCATCTATATAAATATTGACATCAGGTAAAAATTATATAGAACAAAATGGCTAATAAAAATCTATTTTTGTTAGCCATTTTTTTCTTTTCACAGTGCTGGCGTTGGTTTTGTGTGTTATGTGTTGGTATCTTCTATTTGTTAAATTAACTTCACATTGTTTTGTTTAGTTTAATTCCTAAAAAATACCAAAAAATCTGCTATTTTATGATTGTTTAATCTATCTTTGGATTTAGAGAATAAGAATGCAAAACTTAATATAAAAAAAATTTGCTGAAACTTAAAAATTCATTCTTTATATCTGCAAAATATTCTGGATTATGAATACTAGTCACTTAGGTCATAGCTGAACATAATCATCATTGGAAAGTATAACAACTTTAAAAAGTTTCAACTGCTAAAAATAATAAATTTTTATATTCAAATTAATATTAAGATCTTTTTAAAATTTTATTAAAATTTGAATTTATTTTTATTTATTTTTTTGTACAGGGGAATTTTTTTCAAAACATTGGCTCAATTATGGTATTTGCCATTTTTGGTACGGCCATTTCGGCACTTATAGTCGGAGGAGGAGTATTTGTATTAGGTTTGGTAAAGTAATTTTTAACTTTGTTTATTACAAAATAAGAGTAGATATTTTTAGTATTTTAAAAATGTATTAAAAAATCAATTTATATGTGTAAAATAACTAAACACACACTAACTAAACTTTTTTTACAAATGAAATATTATATTTTTAATTGTGCTGGGATTGTCACCTGTAAATTTTAGACTGTTTTGCATTTTTTTGCAGAGGCGTAGCCTGTAAAGAAAGGCCGTCTCTACTGTGGAAGAATGTTGTTGCTGGTGATTGGACATGGCAAAAAGTGAAGACATTTTTAGTCTGTTACATTTTTTTTAAATTGTAAATTCGTCAGCCCTTTTTTACAAACTAAACATACAATTTGTATTATTAATTTACGTAAATTTCAATTTTTAATAAATGAACCTCCAACAGACTAAAATAAATGATTGATTAGATCAATAGAATGATTATTAAAGTTTTAAAATTTGAAAAGTATTGACATAACTATGAAGGGAAAAAATTTTATATAATTTCAAAATCTTCCAACATTTTTTTTTTTTTCAATATTGGTCTTCAATTTTAATATTGAAAGTTGTTGCAATGGGCCCTCCCTTTTAGTGAGACCTACAGGTAAATCACAGTGATAAGTTTGGAGAGTGTGATGGTCATTATATATCCTTATTGACAGTCTCCAGTAGCATGAAGGTTCATTGAACTCGTATGCACATGTGTGATGGCATTGAATAGTGTCCAGTGTGGACATATGAAATATAACTATAAATTGTATTTTATATTTGAAGCTGTGTGTTTGTGTGTATGAATACAGATATATTTTTAATATCATAAATGTATATATATGCAGTGGTGCCTTGAACTTTGAAATTAATTCATTCCAGGAGGCTAATCAAAGTCTGTTCTGAGGTTTGAATCATTTTTTCCATTAGATGTAATAGAAAGTGAATTAAACCATCCCCAGACCTTAAATAAATCCATTTTAATAAACTTAAAACAGCATATTTACATAATTTAAGGTGCAAATAACACAATTAAATGTCCTAATAATAAATTAAAATTTATGAAAACAACAAATAAATTGCATAAATATTGCACAATAAAATGAAAATTGCACTTACTGGCTGCATACTGTTGACTTTGTATCTTAACCTTCTAACTACCAGGGAATTTTATATCATTATATACCATTTGGGTCCATTGAACCTTATACTTAAATTTTAGTAAGAAACATAAGTTAGATTTGAAATTACTAAAAGAAACATATTAGAGCTTTGATTTATTTTAATAGAATAATTTACATATACATTTTTAACTTTAAGATATTGCATTTAAACTTATCATTGATTAAAATCAAAATCGACAAAGAACATAAAACAAACATCTAACTTTTGGCTACTTCACCCCCTTGTTCAGAAAAGAAAAATATGTACGCTGATCAATTAGTTTGACTCATTCAGAAAAATAGAGTACTTATTTAGAGCAAGGATAATAAGTCGGAGTAAACACATTTTTCCGACTCTGCTGGCCAGAAATTCTTCCTGACTCAGACTCCACAGCCCTGATTTAAACACAAACTATTATTGGAACTATTCAACACAACTATTGAAAATCTCCATCATTTAAACTAGTTGGAAAATGAATTGTGTAAAACCTTAAAAGTATCTTAATTTTAGCTTCTATAATTAGAATAAAACAATAAACAATTATTTTTTTAAATAGTGATTTAAAAATGTTTTTAACCTGGAAAATGTTCACTTAAGATACAAAGTTCTAAACAACAGGGAACATAGATTACAAGTTATCTTAAGACATTTGTACAACTCAATTTTATTGAAAAGTATTTTAGCATCCATGATCAATTATTTTTATGAATAAAGCTTTTTTTTTTTCTATTTTTGGGTCAAATTATTTTGTGTGCGAGATAGATATTCTTGCAGATTTAGTAATATACAAATTATTTTTTTAATCTATATTTTGAACAGGCTGATGTCGCATACCAACTGAATTTTACAGAAAGCTTTGCATTTGGGTCGCTCATATCGGCAGTTGATCCTGTTGCCACACTTGCCATTTTTCATGCCTTAGACATTGACCCAGTATTAAATATGTTGGTTTTTGGAGAGAGTATTCTGAATGATGCCGTGTCGATTGTACTGGCAACGTGAGTATTAGTATTTTAACGAATATATACAACTTATAAAGCAGCTGTTTTATTTAAAGTTCATTTGTAATGTTTAACATTAATTGCAATTCACATCTAAATTCAAACTTTCCAGCAAATAAAAGTCAATGAATTAGAATTTAGGTGTGAATTGCAAATATACTGTTCCAGTTTATGGTGAGGTTGTATTTATATTGTTTAACATTAATTAAAATTTCTAAAAACATCAATATATTAACAATCTTCTCACAGCTGGTTATATAGTAAATAACCAGCTGTCAAAACATTCTATACAAAACTTTGGAATACTTTTTGACCTGAAGCAGATCCCAATTAGGATTGAAAGTGCTTGTCAAAGTATATTAAAAACTTTATTTGCTGATAATTATAATGATTTGTTGGTGTTATGTACCATCAAAATTCTTTATTAAAATAATCTCTTTTGATATATGCATTTTTGTTTCACAAAATCAAAATTACTTGCATTGATTTGTTAGCAAAACAGTTTATACTTTCCATTCAAAAATTTCAAATAAGATAATGAATTTGTTCCAGAATCAAGCTCAAGTTTTTAAATGGAACAAGTTAAAGAATATATGTATTTAATATATATGTAATATAAACAAATCAAAACATATAAGCCTAAATTACTGAGCTATTTTTAACCCTAAATTACTGAGCTATTTTTAACTACATCATGGCTAATTTTTTAATTGATATCAGTTTGACCCTAAAGGCAGGCAATGATGATAAGCAGTGATGTTACTACAAAAGAATATCTCTTGGTCAAGCTTTAAGTTATTACCTAAACAGTTTAGATAGTTGAAAGGTACATGCCAACTGGTAAACAATAGTAGGAATGAGATGTCACATCATGTTTGATAGTAGCCTGGTATTGTGTAGTTTGTATTTTTCCAATAAATTGTAAGATTTAACTGTATCAACTGAGTTCTAAACTAAATTTGTGCCATAAATTCAAACATTTTTATCTACTCATGTCTTTGTACAAATAAATACACAATAGGTTTTTTGTACAGATTTACACAGTTATTTGTATAAAAAAGAAATAAAAGATATGTTTATTTTAAGTCTGATATGACTAAAAGTCAAAACACTTTTTTCTAGAGGGGAAAGTTTCCAAAAATCTTTTTTACAAGAATTTTCTTAAATTTTCTAATTCTGTTTGAATCCTTTGTTCTTGAATACAGTATAAATATCATAAAAAATTTTTTTTGGATATAAAAAATTTGATTTCCCTTACAGTTTAGGAATATGAAGATTGTGGTGTTTGTTTTTTTAATATAAATGTAAATATTTTTTATATTTGGAGTATAAACTTTTTCATAACATAAAAACAATTTTTTTAAGCAGAATGTAGCATTCCTTAAGAAGAAATAAAATTATAAAAGTTGTGTATTAAAATTAAAAATTATTGTTTTTATATTAAATTTTCTCTTATTACATGACAGAGCAATGTATAAAATTCAGTTTAAAATGTTTGTGTATATTTGCAAATCCTGTTTATACATGCTTTGTTCTGCTAATGTGTGTATCTTAGCAATTAAATATAAATTAACTAAACTAATTTTTAAAATGTTATAATTTGAATGTTATATATGCTTAACCCAAAGATGACCTTTCAAAATGTTAAAAGTACTTATTTGTAATTAAAAACTTTTCAAACTATTGATAGTAACTGAAAGAGTTTGGTTTATTCTTAATAAAACTAATACTCTGTCAGTTCTGGATTTCCTACAATTACTAACTTAATATTCTACAAGACTTGCAATTGTTATTTAAAAAGCACTAGAAAAGTTCAAAAATGGCTAGTCATAGCCTGACTAGGGGAGAAGAACTTTCAAAGAAAACTTGGTCAATAATACAACAGTTCCAAGCTCTGACTTCGATCACTTCAGTTAAAGGCACATTTTTATCAGTTTTACATCTTTTATGAGTGGGTGACATTATATTAATTTGCATTGCAAAATTTTATAAATTTTTAAAACTGTTTGTGTAATGTACTGTGTAATTTTATTTCCTTTTAAAAGCATTTGGCTGATTGAAAACTTCTGTTTTTCTAAATTACTGAACAGGAGCATAAAATTTCCTTCACTAGTGAGAATATTAGCTTTTCTATTGCTTAAGACTTCAACAGCTAATCTTACAGGTTGTAAGCAATTCCATATAACTAACAATATTTCATAATATTCTTCTCTCCGTAAGTGAGTGAGTTTCAGCTCTCATAAAACAGTCTTAATTGGATTTACGATCTTTAAAAATCTATCTCTCTCTCTTTCCAGTATGTTCCAGTTTGTTTTACAGTCCAAAATGATTTCTAGTTCCCTCTTTTCACTCCTGGTTATTGCTGAAAAAAAGAATTTTTTACTGGAGAATATTTAAATATTTTCACAATTCTTCTTTGTATGCTGTGAATTGCCAAAGATAGATCATCTTACAAATCATACTGATCAGCTTGGGCCACACCATCTAACTCAGAATCACTGCTATCACCTTAATTGTTTTTGGAATCTGTATTGAATTCACTATCATAGGCTACTACAGTCCATTTCAAAAGTGTAAACACATACAACTTTTTTCAATAACAAAAACATTAGCAATAGTAATGTATTTATTACATTAGTATGTTGTTTACAACATCAATTTAAACATTTTCTGAAATTTTTAGAGCTATCTGACAATTACAAAAAAAATTATTTGTGATGTTTCAATATTTTATAGGTCCACCATTTGAATTAATTAATTCAAATACTCTGTCAGACATAAATTTTATTAGTTTTTGAAGTTGTTCTTGTTTAATATTTTTCCAACAATCCATGATAGCTAATTTCAGTGCATTTACAGTATTGTATTGTATTGTCTGTTTTGGCTATAAACAAGATGATTCATAATGCCCCAAACATTCTCTATCGGGTTCATATCAGGGCTTCATGATGGCCAATCAATTACATTAATTTTTTCAGCAAACCAATTTTCAGTTGACTTTGATGCATTGAATGGCAGCATTATCCTTTTGGAATTGCCAGTTTTCTCACCCAATAAGTGATCCAAAAGTTATTAAATTTTGATACAATAGTTCTTGATACTTTTCTGAATTCATTCTACCTTCTATAAATACAATCTGTTTTACCCCCAATCCATATTCTGCCCATAACATCAAAGAACTCCCACCTTGCTGTCTGCTCATTTTGACTTCTTTGTTCTTCCTCAAATCATGCCAGTAGTGACTATAACTGTCAGGTCCATCCAAATTTCATTTTTTTTTAGTCTGAAAAGATTATTTGTTTCCACTCCTCTTTCCATGTCACTTGTCTTTGGCCCACTTTAATCTAGCTGTTTTGTGCAATTGTGTTAATTTTGATTTTGTGTCCATTTTTGTAAATTTGGCATTTTTTATGATTATGCACACAATTGCTCCATACAGTTGCTGGTGAAACTGCAATTGGCAATGTTGATACTGATTCTCTGACAGACAACTTGTTGACCGTCAGTAGCCGAAAAACCTTTCATTTCTAGGTGTAATTAGTTCAGGCCTTCCATGTAGCTTATTTCTGCCATAATTTTCATCCTGAGTTAATGCATTTCTCACAGCACGTGTAGATCAATTTACAGCTGCCGAAATTTGTCGTAGATATTGTCATGCTCCTTTTAGTTGGTAAATTTCATGTATTTTTAATGCTGTTAGTGTTTTTCCATGTGGCATTGTTTTAAATCACAAAAAACTGTTTAAAATTGGCATCACGTTTGTAATAATGAATGATACTACCCTCTGGTAGTAACTAATTAAACCAATAATTCATAAAAAAAAAATTTTCATACTAATTTTATGCATCTGTGTTTATACTTTTGAATAATTGAAAATCTGTGATAATTTTTTTTGTAATTGTCAGATAGCTCTAAATATTTTCTGAAATGTTTAGTATGTTGTTTACAACATCAATTTAATGTAATAAATACATTACTATTGTTAATGTTTTTGTTATTGAAAAAAGTTGGGTGTGTTTATAATTTTGAAACAATGTACAAGTTACTGATGCTTTACCTTCCAACTTTTTAATATCAAATCATTACAACTAGATGTAGTGCATGGTGATAGCAGAACTGTTGAATAGTTGGTGGTAATTTTCCGAAGTTTTACATTATGGCTGCACTGTCACTTGTAATTGCAACCGCATCACTTTGAAGTTTTAACTGAAAGTTTTTTAATCTTTCCTGAAGCAAGGATAAAACGTTTTCTGCATGACAGTTCCCATGTATTCTTATTAAATCAAGGTTCATAGAGGTCCATTGCAGTATACATGAACATTGATATGTCTGCAATTCTTGCAACTGGTCTATTTGTCTATTGAAATACTCACTTTTTTATTAACACATTTGAATACTTCCAATTTCTGAATGAACAGTCATTTCACTTTACTATAATAATTATATATTAGTGTCATAACTGAAGATGGACTTTATGGCAACTGCATTCCTTTGCTTGTGAAATTTTCCCTAATAAACTTACTTTTTTGTAATGGTGTGTTTCTTAGAAGATGGAGGCATTGGCTCATCATTATTCAATTCTGTATTTTCTTTTTCATTCGATGAATATGCACTAGGTGTCTATGTAGACCACTGGTTGATGATGCTTTGCATTGCAAAGTTTTGGAGCAAATCTGGCAATGAACTGATTTGTTTTCTTAATCTTTTCTAAAATATTCCCAACATTCTTTATACTCTTTACTCATTTTGACAGCAATCTATAAAATATTAAAATGTATTTATTAAAAATAGTAATAATTGATAAAAGTAAGAGAGACCCATATTGTGCAGTGAATATTTATAGCTAAAAAGTACACCAAACATCAAAGCATAAAATATTAGCAGTGCAAATCAAAATCTTCCATCCTACTAAATGTTTATAAGAAAGTTTCCATGCTCATGTGGCAGCTTTGATTTTGCTGGTTATACATTGTTGATTTATTAGATGTCCATTTGAGGTCATTCGGACATTGTATACACTGTCAGTGAAGAGAGAATTTTTTAAGTTTTTTATTTTTATGGAAGAAATCTGTTTGGCATTTAATTATTTTATCAATTTTTTTCAAAAATTGATTGTTTCAATAATTCCAAAATCAATTAAATACATGTTCGAATTTACAATAGAATGTGCACTTACAGCTTTAGCCGTTAATAAAGCTTGTTTTCATGAGATTGCTTGATTTTTGTAATCTTGAACTGAGATGGTGAACTCTTCATAGAACTAGCCATTAGTCCTCTAGACAAAATTTGCAGTGATTCTTATTGAAACACTTAAGCTTCCTTTGTATGTTATTTTTAGGTCTTGTTTTCAATGTAATTTAGTTATGTTTTCATTAAGTAAACACCAACTAACCATTTTTTTTTTTGTTTCCTCGAGTTTTGAAATAATGAGGTTTTATTGTACGGTACATCACAATTATCAGCTACTAATAAACTGATCAAATGTGGTTGGTAGTCACTTTATGGAACCAATTCATTGTGTAGAACAGAAACAGTTTGTGTTACAACTTGTTACACAGAGAAATATTTGTAGTCAAATCTTGGGTTGTAAAAATAATGTCATATTAAGTTAAGCTACTTAAATTTCTTTGGTTAGTTTACCTGATCATGACTTTGTAGTCAAATCCTGGGTTGTGAAAATAAATATTTTTCTGTGTGAATACAAACTGTTTTCTGTTCCATGATCAATGTGCTCAATTTACAAAAGCTAAAATTAGCTGGCCATGTGTTATCTGATTCTGGTGGTGTGTAATATTGTAACACAATGTAACTTTAGATAGCTATAAATAGGAAAAATGTCAAAAAGATACATTGTAAGTAGTACATTTATTACCCATTGTGGGTATTACTGGGTACTAGGAGCCGATTTTCCTGTTTTCCTGACCAACTTTTCTTGGGATTCAGGAATGGGAAAACAAAAATATTCTCGAACAGGTGGGAATTCCTTCCCGCTTGAAAACCCACTACTGTTTCTATTCAGATATTTCAGTTGTATTACTTGCTTATTTAACCAATATCTTACAACCTGATTTTTAAAATAGTTTGGCTATCTTATTATATATTTAGTAAATATTATAATAATTGATTCCTATATGAATTTGTTCATAATTTTCAATAAATTTATTATTTAATTTTTGTTTTTTAACACAGAACTGTTTTAGAATCTGCTTCACCAGAAATGGCTGTGATGTCAACGGGACAGGCTGTACTTCACGGCATTGGACGTTTTTTTATGATGTTTTTTGCTTCAGCAGGAATTGGAGTGGCATTTGCACTTATTGCTGCATTGATATCCTTAGTTTTTTATTTTTATTATTATTATTATTATTTAGACAGTAACCTTGATTAAAAAAGAAAGAAAAATCACAAATCACTAATCTAAAACTTGAAATTTTTATTTTAATTCCAAATTTTGCAACCATTCTTAAGATAGTAAACTTATCTACAATCAAGAAATTGTATAAATTCAATGTGGAAGTTATTGTAGGAACAAAAGCAGTTACCAGATACTGGGAGTTATCTACTTCCAACTAAATCTTTCTAGATTGTATGTAGCAGTTACAGGGATCCATCCACTTCTTCATACATCTGATAGGACTGTATGGGAACAGCACACAATTGTTATGTTTGTGTTTAGCTGTATCTCCACATCATGTATATTGTTTCTCCTTCAGATGGTTTTGAGCTTGGGAAAAAGTAAGCAGCAGTAAGGTGTGAAATCTGATGAGTAGGGAAATTACGGAGATGCTGTGCTTAGCTAAAAATTTTGTGACACTTGGCTGTGTGGAACGGTGCATTGTCGTGTTGCAGAACACCATTTGTGAGGACATTTCTGACAAACTGCATCTCAAAGGCACTACAAAATGGTTCTGCACAGAGTCTGATAAATGTCATTGATTCATGCCATTGATTAGCTTGTGTATGGTGCATCATCAGTTGAAATGCAGTTTATCTCCAAACTCTTGACACACGACAAGAAAGAACACTGGCTAGAGACAATTCAGTTTTCATTTTAGGGTCTTCACAAATGAAAATGTTATGTTCATAGCTACAATTCAGAGACAAAGCAGCAGTTCTTGTAGTGGAAGAGGTCACATGGCGTCAAGACTAAAAAAAGAACAGCAAATGAGGGGCATGACAAAAAGCCTGCTAAGTTTTGTTTTTATTACTACACCATCAATGGAATTGTTTTTATCAGGAATTTGTTGTTGTTTTTTTTCAGTCAGACTTCTATGACATTTTGAGGCAGCTGAGAAAAGACATTAATTGCAGAAGATCAGAACTGTGGCACAAGTTGTTCCTTTACCTTACACAATCCTGAAAACATAACAGATTTTGGCAACTTGTTGGTTGTCTCAACCTTCCTACTTGCCAGATTAGACCCCTTGTTGCTTACTTTTGTTCCCAGAAACATGAATGAAAGCTCAAGGATTTGTTTTTTGAGAGTATAGGTGATTAAAACTGAATTGCAGCTGGTGTTTGATATTGTACAAAAAAGACTTCCAGAGTGTGAAACATGACTGAAACACTGAGATTTCTGTACCAAGTCACAAGGGGGAATAATAATATTTTAGTGGATGGAGACCAATTGCAAATGGGACAGATCCAAAGATTTTTTTTTAATAAACTTTGAGAATTGATACTACCTTACAATGTGTTTAAAGCCAAGTGATTGCCAAATTGAATTGGTCTATATTATTGCTACTAATTAATTATTGATTTATTTAGTATCTAATTTAGTAAAAGTGTTTTATTTTAATTTTAAGTAAAGAAGTAGTTATAAAATTTTATGAGGAGAGATAATTGCTAAATTATTAAAAGTAAAACTTCTTAACATTACAAACTTATTAAAATATGTAGATTTGCGAAAAAATCCGTCTTTAGAATTTGGAATGATGCTAATATTTTCTTATGCGCCATACGGTCTGGCAGAAGGTTTGCATCTGTCAGGTAAGTTTTTATTTATTATTAATGTTTAATATTGTTTTTCTCTTAATTAACCTTAACATTAAAATTTAGACATGTTAAATGTAGACAGAATTTGCAAATATGAAATTTCTAATTCAAAATTATCCAGTCTGCACACCTGAAATTAATTTCTGTTACTAAACTATGAAAAATCATTCTCATTCTCACACACACTACCTTCAGTAATATTTACTTACTAACATGTGATACTGTATTACATATGATACTTGATATGTGAAAGAATTTTTTAAATGATACTAGATTAAAAATTTAAGTCAAGATTAGTGAAATTATGTGGAAGTTGAAACAATCTGAAAGTGTGTAAATTTCAAAGATTTCAAATGTTCACATAGAAGAGAAAAACACTTGAATTTGTTATATATGTTTTTATATATTATGAAGGTTGATTGATAAATAAGGTCTCCATTTTCATAAAATTAATGTGGGAAGAGGTTGAATAATGTCAACAGTTTTAAAAAGTAGTAACCGTATGGTAATTTATTTTAATCATACATCTTCATTTTTTAACATAAGCATCATTTAGTGGAATTTTTTTAGATTTTAATACATTTTTTCATTCTATGTGTAGAAAAACTTTTTCTTTTCTTTGATTCATTCCCTTATGACACCTTGAACTTCGGCATCTAATGAAAATGTAGACCTTTTGACATCGCCTTTAATTTTTGGAAAACCAGAAGTGTGATTATGTCAGAGCTGGATTGCAAGAAGGGTGTGGAATAATCTGTAACTGTCTTTGTTCTTTTTTGCATTATCATTCTGCAAAAAAAATTGCTCTTTCTGATTTTACTTTTTAAATATGTTTCTTGAATGTTTGAGTTTTTCTGGTCTTCACTTAATTGTTTCTACCTTTGTTATATATTGTACTTATGTAAACATTTCTTATTTCTTTCCTAAAATACTTCATTATTGTGACTTGAGTATAGGGATGGGTGGAGAATAAGGGTGACAAAACTGTGACACTTCTTCTTTGGGTCATAATAATGAAACTAGATACTCTTGTCTACTGAATAGTTACTTCCCTCCTCTCTCCACTTTAGTAAATATTATTGTAAACGTTATTTATCAGCTCTCAAACATTTTCAGAATTGTAATCCAAATTCTTACAAGATGAATTATAAAATTCTTTTGAAATTGTTGTTGTTGTTGTTTCTTTTCACCTGGTTTTTTTAAATTTTAAATAATCAAGTAAATAATTCCCATACTATATGTTTAAATTTCATAAAATTCTTCTATAATTATATAATTATCTAATCGCTAACTAAGAAAAATTTGTTTACACTATCTTGTTTTTTAATTTTCCTTAGTCCAAATATGCAAATTTCTTGTAATTTTAAATACAAAGCAATGTAACTTTTACTAATTTTTGTCAGGGGTGAGAGAGAGAAAATGACATTGTTTGTCAGTTAGAATGAAATTATTTTTTAGTGTTTTTAATTGAGAGGAGGTGTAAAATTCTGTTGATTTTTCTTTCATCTCATGTACTACATGAAATAGAAAATGTCACATTAATTTAATTTAATAAAAAAAATTTTATATTAATTATTTTATTGTTAATTTTTAAGGTATCATGGCAATTTTATTTAATGGTGTAGTCATGTCCCACTATACGCACTTCAATCTGTCTCCTGTTTCTCAGATAACTATGCAGCAGACTCTCCGAACGCTCGCGTTCATAGCAGGTATGGGAAATTATTTAATTGATTGAATTAACTATTTCATTAACTTTTTACATATTTATTTTTCAGAAACAAGTGTTTTTGCATACCTTGGATTAGCAATATTTAGTTTTAGATTAATAATAAAGCCATCTCTAATTATTTGGAGTGTGGTAGGTATTTTCTATTACATTTTAAATATTAGAATTAAAAATATCTTAACAGATTGGAAAAATATTCTTTATTCCTCTGTCTTACAAAATTTATAATTAAATAGCGTAGTTGAAATGAAAATTAAGCTTTGTGTTGATCAACCCGATCGTGGGCTGAACCTACACTTAGCTTGATTGACACAAGGGGTGAAAAATGATAACATGACCTGTCTGTGATAAATTATGAAAGAGTTTGAATTTGAGTAAAATCTGGATTCTCAAGGTGATAGGCTAACACTTTATTGTATGGTCATCTGGCTGATGATAAATGACGAATACTGATAACATGTTACTTCCACTTTTAGGCTATTAAAATAGAACTGTATATCAAATGCTTTCAGCATATGCTTAGCAAGATGTGTAGCCGTGGAAAATGATCACATGTATGTAAAAGCAAAATAGGAGGATTCCTTGCAATAGTATCAATGTTCTTTTGTGTTTAGGATTTTATTATCTGAGATGAACTTCACTGAAAAACTGTCCAAAATGGCAAATATTTCAATGTTATTTAAAAAGTGGAATATTATAAAACTAGTTCTCTGATGACACACTAAATTTTCTATTCTGGATTATTTTTGTAAAAGATATAATGTAGTCAAATGCTTAATACCAATAATAATTTGAGTAATGGTACATTGTTTAGTTTACCAAATAATTCCAATTGAAAGTCAGAAATGTGATTAATCTGAGCCAGAGTAAACAAGAAACAATATTTTAACATACTCTATCACTAGATGGAATTAACTTTTTGAGGATATTGTTTTATATTTAGAAATTTGTTCTGAAAAACCAATTTCTAAATGCCTATCCTTTTCATTTACACATTAAATTTAACACTTCTGTAACTAAATTTTTATCTTCATTTAAATTTAACACTCAATGAAATATGAATAAATAACATAATATACTTTGTTTTAAAGAAATGAACTTATAAGGAAATGGCATTATTTTTAAGGGAAGGTTTTAATATGGAAGGTACAAGATAAAAATTTGTCCTGTATTGTCACCATGTTCTACAATTGCTGGTGTTGTAGGATGTATCCTCTTACTAGATTCTTACTTTATCAGTTTACTAAACCACAGATGACTTTTTCCAAAAGGCTGTGACTTAGTAGTTTTGAAAAGTTGTTACTCAGTTCTATATTGCTGTATGGTGACAGGGATTGTGCAAAAGCACATTTAAAGCCCTACATGTTGAGCTTCTGCAAAATGATGTGTTTCATTTTTCAGTCGTATTTTTCCAGTTTGTGCTATAAAATCATATAACTAATTTAACCATTAAAAAAAATTGCTGGAAGAGAACTGTTCTGAATACATGAAAGTGTTGCATACTTAACCTGCAGTTGTTTGTAAAGTTTGCTAAGATTTTTTCCATTTATATACAAAATAATTTTTCAGATTTTATTTTATTTTGTTACTTTTAAAACATTAAATTAACTTAAATTTAATTTGTATATTGTATGTTTTCAGATTTTGTGTCTAGTTGGAAGGGCATTGAACATATTTCCTTTGGCTTTCCTGGTCAACCACTTTCGTGAGCATAAAATCACCAGAAAAATGATGTTCATCATGTGGTTCAGTGGTAAGATAAAATTATAAATTTAAATAAGTGCTATTTAATAAGAATTTATATAATTATATTCAGTCATTTCCTCTTTATATTGAGTGTACTTAAGTAAGAATACTATTTACGTCTATAACAAATTTAAATTACATTGACAAACCAATAAATAAGGATCTTACTTTTAACACAGATCTGAATACATTTTACAGAAAAAAAAATAACAGATTTGTTTGATGTTTCTCATAAGTGTTGCCAACAAATGAATCAAAATTTAAAAAAATGTATTAAAAAATGGTAAATGTTGTTTGAGAAAAATTCATTTTTTCAACTGATCTTCATCTTGGTGATTTTTTTCTTTTTGTTTTCATTTTATTTTAAATTTAAAAAGTTTTGTTTAAAACTTTCATCTCAAACTTTTGTTAGCACAACAATACTTAGATATTTTGAAATAGAATTTTCAATATCTCTTAAGTTTGAACCATTGTGCAGCCAGCCAATGTCTAGATGGCATTCGGCTATTAATCGTCATTTAACATGAACTCTGTCTCTGCAATCAGTCGATTGACTCCTTTACTTAACTTTATATTCAAAGAAAAAACACCAGAAGAGTTTCTAGAAGTCAGAAATTGCTTATTTAATTGACTAGTTTTTTTTCTTTTTTAGATACAATCATCCCATGTTCAGAAGAATACAAATCAAATAAAATGCTTTAAGTAGCTATTTGATTTTGTATTTAAATGTCTTTAAACAGTGTCCTTCAAATGCATTAATTCAAATTCAGAACAAATTTAGGTCTAGACAAGATTACACATTAATAAAAACTGAAATAAGTTATTTACAACAAAAATTAAATTATTTATAAATAAGAATAATAAAACAAAACTACAAGACACACAGAGGCATAAACTTGAACATAAACAGAGTGCTAAATCTAAGTGAAGCAATTTCACTTATACGGTATAATCTGTTAACTGGCATTAACTCTTGTCTGTCTAATATATAAATCTGGATCTATGTCACAGCCTCTGTTTTTTGATATTTTAATAAAGTATCTTACGAAACCATTAACTCTATCAATATTAAATTCAATCTATCACTAAAGAAATTTAACAATTGATCTATTTATTTCCGATCAGATGTTTATTGGGACTGTTCTGTCTCATTGTCAGATCAAACACTTAACAAATTTGAATGCAGTACCTTCATTTGAATTTGACATCCCAGCAGTTTACACACTGCATGCATTTTGAGGAATCCCAGAAAGCAAACAATTTATAAATCAATAAACTATGAGTTTTTTTTACTTAATTTTTTTGAATTATTTGAATTTATACTAAAAGAATTTGAATTAATTGTGTTTTTAATATATTTAATTTTATTTTTTTTAATATGAATCTCAAGTCAAACCTGCTATTATTCCGTTTTCTAATGGTTTAAATTAATCAAATCTGTCTGTGTAACTATGTTGTTTTTCAGATAAGAAGGAATACAGAAGGGACTGTATTTAGGCTTTCTATATATAAATGTGACTGAACTCTATTCTCAAGCCTCAAGTAGATCCAAGAAATGTACTGCGGTCGCTATGGGCCAAAGTATACCATGGTATGTTTCTTTGATCTGCTTGTCGATCTCGAGAATGGAGTTTTGGTCACATTTATGTTTTAAATAACAAGTTTTTGATAAATTTTAAATTAAATTTTAAGTGTAATATATAGTTTGTTTATGTAATAAGAAAATTTTTAAAAGATCTACTTTCTTTTTAGGTTTAAGAGGTGCCGTATCTTATGCACTTGCGCTGCATCTAGAATTCGAAGACGAGAAGCGTCATGTTCTAGTGACGACGACGCTCATTATTGTACTTTTTACAATATTAATTCTGGGAGGTTCTACTATGCCTCTTATGAAGGTAAGACATTTTAATATATTTGTACTGATTTATCAAGCATGTTGTTGTAAGACTTATAATTCCATAAAATTATATAACTGGAAAAAAATAATTTTTGGGGTTTAGATTATTAGAAAATTACATACAATAGAATTCACTTATTGTAATCACATATGTTATCTGTCATTTAATGATGTGATTAGCAAGTCCAAAAACATAAGTTAAATACATTTAGAAAACTATTCTAATTACAAGCTTCTGTTACAATTATCTTCAAGAAAATAAGCATTTTTAAGCTGTATTTTCCTGCTTTGTCTCGGTATATGGCTAATAATACACATCCATTCAGTTAATGTTCACTCTTAACTAGTGCCTTAAATGTTAATTGTTATGTTATTACTCACAGTATAACTGGATGAATTATTATTATTAACTGTAATTAATAACTTTGAACTTACACATTTTTTAAATTTCTTTTTATATGATCAGTTAATAAAACAAGAACATCCACTAATTGTAGTCTTATTCAGAATAATGTTATTATTTAGCTTTTTCACTTTCATTTATTTCTGTCTATTGGCACAAGATTTAATTACTGAGAACAAAATACAAGCATTTTGACAGTATATAACTGTCATCCTCAGGTTCTGTGGCAGTTAGAATACAATAATTCTAAAAATAGAACATATTTTCAATTTGCTTTATGTGCGTGAGCATGGAACATATAACATATAAAGCTTTAAAATACAAAATTTATATGTCATTACAAAAATAAATACAATATACAATGATAATGATTTACAAAATTAACCAACTTAATATGTACAGAATTAATTGACACAAATTTTTTTAAGACAAACTACAAACACTGGACTGTTTGCTACCAATTTAGTTATTTCGACACTTTTTGTACAGTTGATGATAAAGGAGAGTTAAAAGCAGAAAAATATTTGTAGAGTTAAAAGCAAACATCTACTTTATTGGAACTTTGGTTCCTGCACTTTTGAATCCTGGCATTCGGATTTTACAATATGTCTTCAGGGATAGATATATAAATTTCTAATACAAATATAGATTGAGTGAAATTCTTCATAAACCAGAAATGTTTAATCTGTGATTGAAGTTTAAAGCAATCACATGATTTTTTGCAAAAATGTACAACTTGGCAATCCAATGTCGTGATGAATTTAAAAGTTTGAAATTCCATCTATGGGCTAAGCTATTTGAGGTTAAAATTTGTCATGTAAAATATGTGGTCAGAGTTCCTGTTGTGTTCTGGTCAAATTCAACATATCAATGGAGCTGACAATTTCTGTCAATTTACATCGATCTCTATGACAAATTTTTATTTTGATCTTAACAATGGGCATTTAACATGTACAATGCCATGACAAAATCAATTTTTGAAAACACACACACATGGATGTCCTGCAGCCACACATGTACATGTTTTAATTGGTTTCTGGAGTTGGCAGTCCGCTGGCCACACATGTGAGTGTTGTAAATGTTACTTGACATTTTTGTCATATATTATGATGGGCATGTACCTTACATCCTACCTTGAATCTGTGGGTTTTAAACTGCTTTAGACAGAATGTTAGAAGTGTGTCACCACATTTGTATTTTTGTGTCAAGCCAAAAAGCTAAAACCTAGGCCATGGAGCTCAGTTTCATTTTCTGTGTAAATACCTTGTATATCTGCTCCGAAGAAAAGAGAGAAACTCAAAAATGCTCAGGCCAAAGGACTTACTTGTTTCTTTAGAATCTTCAGCAGAGCATATATTTGGTTTATTGATAAGAATAATTTTCAAGTTTTGGTTTGAATTGTGGGAATAATAGAATTAATAAACAATTTGTAAGGGAAGAAATTTTAATGGTGCAAAGATAGGTTTGCTATCAACTTGCAATAAAGTAAGTTGGTGAAAATATTTATCTTGAATATTAAAGAACAAAATAAAATCTTGATTGTTTTTCTAAAATACACAAAAATATTCTCATTGGAATTGTTTTGTTTTAATTAAGTTCTGGTTTTAGCCCATATTTGTTTTGAATAAATTAAACATTTTTAAAAATTCAAAATTTGTTATAAACTAACAAAACAATTTACCTTACCAAAAGTGTGCTTATATTTTGAATTTTTCTTTATTCATTTTAATGATTTTAAGATAATTTATTAGTAAAGATTTGAAATTTTTTTTTAGTTTCTAAAAGCTGATAAGAGAAGCAGCAGTAGGAGGAGGAGGAGGAAAGGAAGAGGAGAAATTTCACTGAGTAAAACTAAAGAAATGGTTAGGATTTTTATATATATATTTATAGAATTTTTTAGCTGTCTTTGTTACTTAAAGTTTTTGATTAATGAATGACTTATTCAGGGTCAAACCATCGATGCCGAGCACTTGTCCGAGCTGACGGAGGAAGAATACGAAGTCAATTTTATGAATTCTAACTTAACCGGTTTCGTGCGCTTAGATGTAAAATATTTAATCCCATTTTTTACCAGAAGATTCACACAACAGGTAACTAAATTTTTTAAAATATTGCAATTTAGTTTTGAAAGATAAAAAATATTTTAGCCATTTCAAAATATATAGATATTTGTATTCAACTCTTTAGCTTGGAAAATTTAGTATTTTTCTGTATCTGTTTGATATACAGTAATAAAGTACTATAATAGAGGAAATGTATGAAGTGTTAAAGTTAAGTTTTCATCAAAAAACAATAAAAAAGATACAATTACATGAAATTTATATTGAGTTACATTTAAGTAATGATTCCTTAACAGCAAATGAATAGAAATTTTTTTTGTCATTCTTGAACGTCATATAAAAGTGAGGTGTTAAAATCTTCCAAAAATAGATTAAAAAGCATAAAAACATTTGAATGTGTGCAAACTAAGTAGAAACTACATGCAGTCACTTGTTTTGAAAGGTTAAAAGCCGCCTGTGTCCTCATCATGCCAAAAACACTGCCATTAATAGAATTTTGCTTAATAGAATCTTCAAGAGCTTAAACAGACAATAATTTCTTTCTTTACATTTGTGACTGTTAGGAGTATATTTACAAATAAGATGCAAGTTGTAGTATTACACTTTAGCAGATTTACTTATGTAGATTCTTGTGTTTGAATTCCAGTCTATTAGTTTTACTTTAAAAACTTGTTTTTTTTTTAATCAATTATTGCACTTTAAAGTGGATTTTTTATTGAAGAATGTGCAATGGCTCTCTAGATAATAATGTAGAGGTAAAAATTGGCATGTTTTTTCCATTACATAGTTTTATAATCTATGATCTACATTTTTTAACTACTAAAATTATTTAGAGAATTAAATAGCAAAAAAGTAAATTGGTATTAGAACTAAGTGTTTGTTCGTATGTAAATTGTTTGGTATTTTTTATCTGATAGTGTAATATAAAAATAATGAAAATTGTCTTGAAGAATCTTTTTAATATGTGCAGGTATTTTCAATATTTAAACTTTAAGTATAAATTGAGACTTGCTTTATGGAAAGCAAGAACTTAATAAGCTACTCTCTCAAAATTATGTTACCATAAGTATTTTGATTTTAACAACATTAGTATTGTTTGGATATCAAACAACACAAGGAACTGATAACATCCTAACTGAACAGTTAGGACGTTAGACGACCAAGGCAATTAAGGTGTCGGCGTACCATTCCAATGGACTTTGGTTCAAACTGGGACAAGAAACTGGGCATTTTTGTCAGGGAGGTGAGTTCTGGATGCTTCAAGCCCCATTCCTTCTAGACTGATTGTCTCTATCATCCTGATCAAACTCACAATGGACACTGAATTTGTCCATTGAACAAGGTCATTTGGGGGGAAAAAATGGAAAAATAAAATCAGTTTTTATAAAATTTATGACAACCGTAATTTTTTTCTAAAAATATTTTTAGGTCCACAAAGCAAATATAAGGTGGCACAAAAGTCAATTACCCAAGGTATATTTTAACACGTTGACTGTCATAATGATAACAAAAATTAGGTTCCTTATGACTGAAAGTATTGTATTCAGGAATATGATAGCAATTAAGTTATTAAGTATCACTTAATGTGTTTATTAGTAAAAAAAAAAACTTTTTTTACTGTTTTCAGCTGATAAAAATGTTTCATTTTAAATGAAGAAAATAGAAAAGTACTAAAATTAAATGTACTGTTAAAGACACAAAGTAGGTGAGACCCATAGTAGATTTCAAATACTCCACATTATATAATATGGAAAAATTCTTAAAATGCAAACTCCAAAAATACAACAATTCCAATTTTGCTATAAAAAGTACTGATGAACTAATAAATGACCTTAAAAAATGAATATAGAAGAAACCTTTAAAATAGCTAGCCTAGATATTATTCATATGTATCCTTCAATCATTGGGATATTATAGAAAACAAACTAAAAGACATCAATGTAACAACAGAAGTAATAGAACTAATTGAGTTTTCTTATTGAAGCAATTATTTTACAATAGAAGAAAAGTACTATACACAAACAGATGGTATTAGTATGGGATCTGTGATCGGACCAAAACTAGCAGAGTTAGTCTTGGAAGAAATTGATAAAATGATTAGTGCAATAAATGGAGTTAAATTTTACAGAAGGTATGTTGATGACACAATTATAATATATAAGGAGACTGACATTACAATTGAAAAATAAAAGAAAAGGTAAATAATATAAATGATAACATAAAATTTAAAATAGAGGAGGAAGACAAAAAAGAAATGTTATTTAGATATCAAGATATAATAAAATGTAAAAAAAAAAAAGAGTTTGACTTTTTAAAAAAATTGAACTCAGTACAAACAACTATTAAGCATAACTCTAATATACCTTTATACAGGGTGGTTATAATTAAAGTTGCCTTACTCAGACCTGTATAGAGCCCATTCTTTGTTGTATTTTGATGAAACTTGGTATACACATTATATGGACCATGGGGAAAAGGAAAATGCAAAAAAATAATTAGTTCAAATTTCTACCACTAGGTGAAAAAATGGCACATGAAGAACAAGAAACACAATGGAAACATGCAAAAGGTTTTCGTTCATGACATTTCAATGTGCAATCCATTTGCGTCAATCACGTGTTCAAAATGCCTTACAGCGTGTTTAACAGTAGCATGATAGGTTTCTTGAGAAATTGCAGCAATATGGTGTGTTATGCTTGATTTCAATTCAAGCAGAGTCTGTATTTTTGTTGATATTTGAAAGATCGTGTTTATAGAGGAGGCATACGAACTCTGAACAAAAAGAAAAAAAAATGCATATAATAGAAAATTTAAGGAAAGTACAGTGGGTGATCAGTTAACGAACAAATCAGATAATGAACACTTTTGCAAAAGATTTTTATGATCGGACAATAAACACACGTTCGGATAACGAACACTTAGCCGAACAAACATAAAAAAAAGCGATGAAAATAGCAAATATCGATTGATTTTCTTTTGTCTTCAGGTAACTTTTTGGAGGCGGGAGATGTCAACGTTGACGCTCAACCCAATATATACTGATCAGATAGTATTCCTCGAACTTTGAAATACTCCCTTGTAATTCCAGCCTTTTATTTTTCTGACAAACAATTCTTCTATAGTATTTGCGAGACTGTTGGGCGGGCACTCATTAAGTTTTGTGTCTGTTTTTATTTTCGAAAGGTGAGAGTATAATAGCAAAGGTAGAGAGTGGGCAGTATGGCTTGAACAAATCTATAGTAGGGTGCAGTTCAATCTTATCTAAGAAAGATACAGTATAATTAAGAAAACTCAAGCAGCTAAAGCAGTAACAAATATCACATCAGAGAAATAAAGAACATTGAAGAGCTCATAATGGAACCTGAAACGGATCTGACGACAGAACGCCAAGAAACTCGGCGAGATATGTTTTATTATGAAAAAAAGGATTAATGCCAATATCTGCTATTAATTAAAGATCTTTTGAAGAAGTGGGAGATGTCAGATCAATGGTCTTAGAATGGCATACAAACCAGTTGAGATTAATAGTTTGGGGATCTCTACAATTACAATGCTATTAATTCTGAAAATCCTGAAGAAGAGAGATAAGCAATCAACATTAGACAGATTGTTTAACCCCCACAAACAAAAAAACATGATTAATAAAAATGTAAGTCTGTGTATATGTGTGTTTTTATTATTACATATAAATAAACGTAGTAAGAAAGTGTATTTTTTTTTATTTTTTGGGTCTCCAGAATGAATTAATCAAATTCCCATACAAACCTATGGTAAATTGATAATCGGTTAACAAACAATTCAGATAGCGAACAAAGTCTTTGAACGGATTATGTTCGTTAACCATTCACCCACTGTATAGAAATTCTGAATAATAAAAACAATATAAACAAAAATCTTAGTATAAAAATAAATGAGAATTGCTAAAACTATTGTAAAGTTGAAAAATTATTTATTGGATTTAAAAGAATTATGTATGAAATTATAAAAATTTAAAAAAGATTAACTTTAGATGTATTCAAATTAGTTGTGCGTTATTAAGCAAAGAAAAACCGTAGCATAAAAACAAATAGGTATTAGCTATAAGTATTATGGAATTGTAAAAATTGTAATAACAAAAAGTAGTATAAAAAAGATTATTGCAAATATATTTAAATTAGTCACATGTTAGTAAAACTGATCTGTAAAAACAAGGAAAAAGATACTAAAAAATATATCATAAAATATTATTTATTAATAATTTATAAATTTTAACAATGAAAATCTTGTAGACTATAGTTATTGTTTAATCTTCAAAATAAAAATAAAAATGAAAAACCAGTGTGACATTAAGTGATGAATGGGATTGGAATTGGAGTAGGGAAGAGCTTTGTAGCCAATTGCTTTAATGAGCTTGGTACTGTTGTGTTTGATGCTGAATATGACTAAGTACTGTAAAAGTGCATTCATGATCGGAAAACTCTCATTTTACAAGTGCCTTTGGAAAGAATATGTTAAATAGCATTGTTGATGTTTTAAGAGAAGTTTTAATTATACAAACTTTTATTTATTGTAAAAAAGCATAAAAAGGAAAAAATGAACAATCATGCATGCACCCATCTTAAGAAATTATGTTTACATCATAAAAATCACCTTCTAATTTGCATTTCATGGTAATGTTCACTCTCAAAATTATACGAGTAGTTTTAGAAATTTATTTATATGTAGTAATTGAATGTACCTTTTCAAAAACAGTTGACTGAGGGGCATTGTGAGCCCAAATTCATATTAACTAAAATTGAATAAATAATGAAAAACTGCCTAGTGTCCGATTGATCGCACTTCATCATGCTAAAGAAAAAAAAAATCCTAATATCTTATTAAATAAAAAAAAATATGAAGAACTTTAATAAAAGCAATAGAAACACTCACAGAAAGCAAAATGATGAGCAAGCATATCAGGAAACTTTGCACTTAAACAAGAATAAACTTGTTTTCATATGAATCGGCATATAATTTACATGGCCATTAGTGCAAATTTTGGCTGTTAAGGC